CTTGTGGTGAAATTTCAAAATATGAAACTAAAGTATTGTAGCTCTACTATTATTATATATTACAATACGATTAAATTATACGAGAGCAAACGCGGACAGGCAGGCCAAAGAAGCTTTTCAGGAGGAATATAAGTTATATTTTAAAAGAAATGAATACAAATCCAAATCTTAGTGTGAAGGGCACTGAATAGCAATGGACTACTACTAATATCAGAGAAAACCGTAATCTTCGACTGGAGTTTGCACGGGCGCACATTGACAAAGGAATGGAGTTTTGGTCAAAAGTTTTATTTACGGATGAATCGAAGTGTAATATATTCGGAAGTGATGGGCTGGGCAAATCTGAGGGAGAAAACATTAAGAAATGGAACTCAAAAATTCACTACCTACCGTGAAACACGGCGGCAGCAGCGTCATGGTTTGGGGAGCAACGTCTGGCGTTGGAAAGCTGGCATTTATTGAAGGTAATATGGATCGAATTAAATTTAAAAGTTTTTGGAACAACATTCGAAGCCATGAGTGAAATGTTTGGTCCTTAGAAAAGGTGGGATTTTCCAACAAGGCAAAGATCCCAACCGTACTGCAAAATCTCTAAAGGAATGACTCTTATACTACGCACCCAGGCAACTTTATACACCCCCATAAAGCCCAGATTTAAGCCCGATAGACTATGTGTGGAAGCTTTTGGAACGGAAACTTCCGCAATTTCGAATAACAAACGCGTAAAAAATCCACCTAAAAAGTAAGCAGTAAATAGACAACAACAGTGGGCCTACTAAATATTAAAATTATTCAAAATCTTACATATTTAGGGTTTGGGAGCTATTTCGTGTTAAAACTAAGGTGTATGTAGAATTTCGTCATCTTAATTTTTTTGTTTTTTTTTTTTTTGAATTTGGCTGTGCTTTCCATTATGGTTCCAATGCTTGTTTCAGCCAAACTAATTGACCAATCCTATTGAAAGTTTCAGGAGTTGTTGCTGTTGATCTAATCTATGTTTATTTATTAAAATTAACACATAAATATTTATAAATTATATATAATTTGTTGTTAATAAGTTTACACTTTCATCACAAATATTTACTTAGCACGTGCACTTTTTTAACATACGAAACGCAAAATACTAACTTCAATCTGTTCACATGCGATTACTAAAAATTGTTGTAATTTTATTTCACTTGGTTAGCAGTAAAATATTATTTTATTTTTATATATTANATTGGTACAGTTACTGTAGGGAAACCGTGGTGATGTACCAAATTGACCAGAAAACAACTGGAAGAAAAATAGGTGGTCCGGGCAAGGTAGTTCAAATTGATGAAAGTAAATTTGGGAAACGGAAATACAATAAAGGTAGTAGTTATATATTTTGTTATTATATAGGTCTTAACATTGTATTTAATTTTTTTTAGGGAGAAGGGTCGAAGGCCATTGGGTTCTGGGAATGATTGAGGACGGCTCAGAGGATCTACGTTTGGAGGTGTGCCCGGACAACATGCGATCGGCAGAGGTGCTCGTACCACACATCCAAAAACACGTAGCTGAAGAGAGAATCATTCATACCGATCGCTGGAAAGCGTATGATTGTCTCTGCAGCTACGGGTACGAGCACCATAAGGTTAACCACAGCGACCCGGATAACCCGTTTGTGGCGCAGGATGGCACACATACCCAACGTATTGAGTCACAGTGGAAAGTAATAAAACGGTTCCTTCAAAAAGATAACTATAATAATCCGGCTAATTTCGCCGACATGATTATTGAATACTTGACCCGTTCTAAAAAATTGTAGAAGCGGTCAAATATACATATAAAGTATAAAAATTTTACTCTAGTTGTTTTATTTTAGAATTTCTTTTTATATGTGGCAACACCAAAATTCACAGTAATGACACTTTGTACAAAAAATAGGGTAAAAATTCGATTTTTTTGCTAATTTAAATGTAAATATCTCGAAAACTAAAGGTCTCCGGTAGGTTTAGTTTTCGGTTTCTGAGAGAGGGTGGAACCCCCTACCACCCCTTATAATTCGTTTTTCCCAAAGCCTGGAATCATAATGGAAAAGTTTCCCTTGAATTTTTCCATTATTAAGCGAATGAAATAATTTCGGTTTCGTTCTTTTTATGAATCATGATGAATATAAACCAAAACTGCATCATTACTTTTTCTATTTAATATAAAAATTCTAGAAAACATTAAAAATTCTCGATGTCCTTTAGTCCTTCACTGTATATATTTACCCCCAAGCATTGCTACTTGTACATAGTTTGCAGACACGAGAGTATAACCCGTAGATTTTTGTCGTAACAATATTTGCGCTTAATTTTTATCCCGTCAAAACTCAATACACAGTTTTTTGGCTTCCTGCCCATTTACAAAGTGACGGACAAAAACTTTAGAATTCCTTGTGCGATGTCTACTTTCATGAACCATCTTTGCAAGGTTCTAAAACTGGGTAAAGGATACCCTTTTTTGAGTAATAATTTGTATACTTTTTGGCTAGATGAATCCAAAGTTATTGACCGATCAACATCCACATCCCTCCCATTTTTTTTCTTTAATGATTTTGAAGTCTATCTGCATATCTGTTCTCTGGAAATTATGGTGCTTAACGAATCTCTTGAATTTTATTAGCCTGACGAAAACCGTCAACTTCCCGTTGTAGAAAGTTGATCGAGAACTGACCTATGTTCGAAAAAATCTTATTTATGGTCCGATTTACTTAAAATTTGGTGCATTGGCGGCTTTTTGCTTAGATCAACAATAAGATTCTTCTTATCTCAGGGAAGTGGACCAGGGACTGACCTATTCAAACAAAACTAATTTATGGAACAAATTACTTGACTACCTGTACAGACCCATTGGAAAAAACTTTTTTATGTCGGGACTCCTAGAAATTCGGTACATAGATGCACAGGAAGACTGTAGTCTCTTCTCTCCGCGAAGTGGACCAGGGACTGGTCTATTAAAAAAGTCGGACTATTCATCTCTTCGGGAAGTGAACCAATATCAATGGTAAAAACCAAAATATTGTATTCCCTTAAGTATTGAGTGAATAAAGTTATTATAAAAAGATAGGCTTTGATTAATTTCCAAATTTTCAATGAGTATTTGCGATAGCGAAGCGTTGTAGGGCACAGCTAGTTAGCTATATATGAGCAGTTCTATACTAATTCGCACAAATAGAAGGAAAGTATATATGTATGTACAATCAAGAAAACTCGTATTCATAGACCCCAATATTTTTACTTAAAATGTAACTTTTCCACTAAAGTTTATATTAAAACACGAATTCGAGTACAAAGTGAATACAATTCACGAGATTTATTAAATTTTATATAAAATTTAGTACTATATCAAGAAAAACTATAAATATTAAGCAAAAGTATAATTAGCCAACGCAAAAGTCATATTCATACACCTTTAAATATTAGCAAAAAATAAAAATTGACAACTAAAGTAGTTAAAATTAGTATTCACTTCGATCACCTCTTTCTTTAATAACTGTTTGTAATCGCTGTTGCATAGATTTAACCAACTTTTTTGTAAGTTTTGGTGATACACTTTTCCATTCCATTTGCAATGCATCCTTCAATTGTTTCTCTGCCCCTTTAAAATATTGATGAAATTAAAGTAATTATTTAGAGCACACGTTATGCAAAAAAAAAACTAATTTATTTCGGAGAACTGAAACATTTGCTCTAACTAACGTTAATTTCAACGCTTATTATGTTAGCGGACAATCACTGAATACGAATTTTGCGTTGGTTGATTATACTTTTGCTTAAGATTTACAGTTTTTCTTGAAATAGTAATTTTCTTTCCACATATTTTAATAAATTTTGCGAATTGAATTTACTTTTCATCTGAATTTGGACTTTTTTATTGTTAAACTTTAATAGAAAAATTACATTTTAAGTAAAAATATTGGGCTGTATGAATACGAATTTCCCTGACTGTATGTTTATATGCTATATCGTTCGAAATCTGACTCAGACAAATTCGAATTTTTCATAACAACCACCCACTTCGAGATTTTAAGCGAGATTTTTTCGTAAACTTGGAATTAACTCCTGCTGATAATCATTGAAAACACACAAACAAAATTTGCGCTAGCCGATTTTATAAACAACTTAACATTTTAACTATAAAATTGGAAAGCCTTTCAGTAAAATTTTTGAAGTTAATACCAATCACAATAAAAGTTTCCTGTAGAATTTTATGTCTCACAAGCGTATTTTAAGGATGAAACATTTTTCAATTATAAAAATTACATTATTTTTTAACAAAAAATTGTATAGCTTTTGGTGTCATGTAATAAGAATAGCATATGAAAATAATGACTACAATATTGAAAATTGTCAAAACTCAAAGCGAACGAGGATTATTATAAAGTATTTAATAGAAAACCGGATTTTCACATATGTTCTTTGTCTGCTAAAGAGCTTTGGAGGAATGGGAATGGTGAAAAAGTGTGCAATGGGATATTGCGGTGAAATACTTAAAAAAAATTGTATGTAATTGATATTAAATTTTTGTGAAAAATTGAAAAAAAAAAACAAAAGAAGATATGTGATATATTCGTTTACCTCTATGCTATGCTATGATATAATTTTTTGGGCTGAAAACTTAAAGTTTTGCCAACAAGAAAACAACTTGAAAACTTGCAAAATAGACTTATTTGTGTATTGCTGTTATTCAGATTTGGTTAGCACAGCTTTTTTTTTTTTTTGCTAGTTTTTCAACAAAAAGCCAGTGGCCAAATATGTGAGACATTTTTGCCATATTTACATACATAAAGAAAAACAATTATTTCTTTTTATTATAAAAATATCAAATCTATATCACTGTAAATACGACGAAGTTGGTTCAGTGACGTCACCGGTTGTCGTAACCTTGTATTCTACAAACCTTGTTAATCACTAGATAACAACTGGTTGCCAAGGCATCAACTGCAACTATGGCAACGATTAATAATATTTTGTCAATATTTAAAGGAATTATTTTAGTGCAATAAATCGAAAGTTTATTTAATAATATTGAGATTTTAGCTTTAAACCCAGTACTATGAGTAAATTAGAGGACTTGTTGGCCAAGAAGAAAACCGTCGTTCCAGTTCTCGACTTGAGTAAGAATGTCGTTCAGACCAAAGAAGAGTTCAAGCGACTGATGGAGAAAGTCCCCGATTATAAAATGCGTCCAGTTAAAGTTCGTGCAGATGAGATTAAAATTAAGGAAAAAGACTTTTCATTCAAGATATCCAAGAAAGAGGTCAGAAAATTACTAAAACATAATGGCGAACGTGAGCCTATATACACATATGCGGATCCAGTTCCATCCGAAATGAAAGATGTTACCATTATGGACTTATGCGCAGTACCAATAGATTGGAAAATGCTTACCACTTTGAGGCCAAAATCGAAACAGGAGGAGGAATATTTTAGCCGCATGACAGAGATGGCCAAGCTGCAGTTGAAAACTGAACAGCGTGACCGACGCGACTTCTTGCTCAATAATTGTGTTAAAAAGAACAAGAATAAATCGGGTATCGTAGAGACTAAATTAGCTGTATGTACAGAATGCGGACAAGAAATGTGTTGCGGTAAATCGATATCTTCACAGTTGATAAGTTTGTTATAGTAAACCGAATGGACGATATTTTCTTTTAGGTAAAGCTTGTATGGATTTTAATTATGACTTATTTGTGCGTGTTGAGCCAAAAGTTTCAAAACCTAAGCCACCAACAAGCAACGCAAACAAAGGAAAACTAACTGGACGTAAGTCTTTTACCAAGGACGGTGCAAAGGGCAAGTCCAAGAAGTTATCTGGCAAAGCATAAATTAGCAAGCAGCATTTTGATATGTGTATATATACCAACATACATACATAAGTAGGTCAATGCTAAAGAATTCCGCACTCGTATGAAGTACCACTAAATCGAGATGAGTTCCTTTCCAATTTTACCATTTAGCTCATAAATTTGCGTAAACAGAAGGTGCATAAATGGAATAAAAGTTCTTTTGTATTTTTACTTGTTTCCAATTAGTAATAATTATAATGTTTATGTGAAGCTGATTCAGTTGGAGAGAAGAAAAAATTTGGACCGATTTTTCAGTAAAATATTGGGTGGTCGCCTCAAGAGAAACCAACATTTTTTCATACAGACGACGTTGACATTGTTTTTGTATTTTGTACTTTTTCCTTTGACAGTTATAAACTGTCACTTTTAGCTTGCTTTAGAAAAGATAGTATCGTAATTTTGTTTATACTCGTTTGCTGATCGTTAGCTTTAATAGGGAACCCACAAAAGAAAAAATTCAGCGAAGGTTGCAGAAGAGTTACATAATTTGTATTGCGTTAAGACCTTAAAAGAAAAATAGTGTCGCAATTGGTTTGTCAAATTCCGTTTTGGAGATTTTTCATTCAAAAATATGCCACGGATTCGAGCTCTCTTTCTTTAGCAAATAACGTAGATCTTCAAACCCAAAATGATTTATATCAAAATATTACTTTTCAATCGCTAGTTTTTCAAATGGAAGAACTAAAAAAGCAATATCTCAACTAAAATGAACAAAGACATTCAAAAAACAATTTACGAACAAAACTGCGCGACGAAAGTGTCTCATTGAGATTATATGCTATATCGTTCGAAATCTGACTCAGACGAATTCGAATTTTTCATCACAACCACCCACTTCGAGATTTTAAGCCAGATTTTTTCGTAAACGTTGAATTAACTCCTGGTGATAATCACGGAAAAACACAAACAAAATTTGCGCTAGCCGATTTGTTCAGTAAAATTTTATAAACAAATTAAAATTAAAATTCGAAAGCCTTTCAGTAAAATTTTTGAAGTTAATACCAATCACAATTAAAGTTTCCTGTAGAGTTTTATATCGCACAAGCGTATTTTAAGCATGAAAAATTTTTCAATTATAAAAATTATATTATTTTTTAACAAAAAAATCTACAGCTGGCAACGCTAACTTATGGGGTCATGTAATACGAAGAGCATATGAAAATAATGTCTAAAACGTTAAAAAACGTAAAAGCGAACGAGGATTATTATAAAGTATTTAATAGAAAACCGGATTTCCACATATGTTCTTTGTCTGCTAAAGAGCTTTGGAGGAATGGATGATCCTTATCTTGGAAAAAAGCGTGTTTATAAATAAAGCGGTGAAAAAGTGTGCAATGGGATATTGTGGAGAAATACTTAAAAAAATTTTATTTGATTTATATCAAATTTTTGAGAAAAATTGAAAAAAGATATGTGATATATTCGTGGAGGTATGCTATGACACAATTTTTTGGGCTGAAAACTATCTTTAGAATTCCCTTTGCGATGTCTACTTTCATGAACCATCTTTGCAAGGTTCTAAAACTGGGTAAAGGATACCCTTTCTTGAGTAATAGTTTGTATGCTTTTTGGCTAAATGAATCCAAAGTTATTGACCGAACAACATCCACATCCCTCCCATTTTTTTCTTTAAGGATTTTGAAGTCTATCTGCATATCTGTTCTCTGGAAATTATGGTGCTTAACGAATCTCTTGAATTTTATTAGCAAGACGAAAACCGTCAACTTCCCGTTGTAGAATAACATATTCTTCCATAAGCTTAAAGCTACTCTTCTTTAAATAAGTGTTCTCTTCTCTATGAATTTTGCTAAAATTTCAATATAAGAAAAATTGTCTGGTAAAAGAGGCAAAGGTTTAAGATCTTGGAAATCCTTAATCAAATTGAAGGACATGATCCATGTTTCAGTGAAAATTTTGGTCTTTCGCGGAAATCTTGGTGAATGTTAACATTAATATTAGGTGTTACTATTATCGTCGGCGCTCTGCCAAATTACTGCTCGGTGTATATAGCCGAATCAGCTGCATTACTAGAAGCGGTTCGTTTTGCTTCCACTAATGGTACATATGTTATATGCTCCGACAGCAAATCTACTATTGACGCCGTATTTAACAACACCTGGTTATTATTCTTGAGTTTAGGCCGCCAGACTATTTCTCCGTTGAGAAGTTATTTCCTTTCAATGGCGGTTTTTTGTTTGATGGTGAAATATGCTTTCCATTATTTATGCATTATCGGATAGTTCTGCCACCCCAGTCCATATTTCACTTGCTACCTAACCGGTAGATGTTGAAATTTAGACTTTACCGATACATTAGTATGCCCCGCAATTGCTCGGTATTCCCCTCATTCTTCATATCTCTTAGCACTGGCTTTACTGGGAATATCCATGGATCTACATCCTAGCGTACAAGAGAAATTACTCGATCAATCCAAACATGACAAATGCAACTACACTCGACGCTATATTATTTACGCACCATAAAAACACAAAATAACTATCAGACTTTACTCTTTAACCAAGATAGATCTTCCNAAAAAAGCGGAAGGGAGATATTTGACAACCTTATATAATTAATAGAAATTCCTTACATAACATCACCTTTATCTTAGATGATTATAAAAAAAAACAAAGCTTACCCTATTTAAAGTGGTGCTAAATTTTACACAAATACTCAAATCGAAGAGAAGCCGATATCTTTTGTAATCAAAAAGCTATGTGAAAGTTATGCACGTTAAGAAATACTGAACTAAGTGTGAATGTTGAAATTATAAATCTATCTACATTTAAAAATAACAATTGGTTAATACAACTAAGTAAAATGTCCGATATTGAAGAGCTTTACAAAATTAAATATATTCTTAACTGTAAAGTAAATCTTGAAAAACTTAAGCCACTAATACCCATCCAATGCAAAAATTGCCAGAGGTACTCGCATGTAGCGAGTAACTGCCTTACAGGTGTGTAAAATATGCACAATCCCACTACCCTGGGGAATGCACAATCTCACTGCCCTGGGGAATGCACAATACCATTTAGGAAAATATACAGGGCTATCAAGGAATCCCATTGCTGTCGGAATTGGAATTGAAACCCACAAAAAAAATGCTTTGGTGTCATGAATTCCGATGTTATCGGTTTTATGCTCGAATCGGAATTAATGTCGATTTTAGGTGTCACAGAAATCAAAATTATCGGTTTTTTATCGGAATAAATCCAAGCAGCTTACCGCTATTGGATTTGATTAGTGTAAACGTTTTTTTTTACAATTTGCAGTTACAAATTAAGTAAAAATGTGAGTAAATGGTGGTTTTTCATAATAATAAATATTAATTATCTTATATTCTTAATCGTAATAGGGCAACACATAAAAATGCAACACAAAATACAAACCATTTTTTCTGGCCGATCATACAACGTATTAAATAAGTAGCGAAAATGAGCTTTCAGCACTCTTATTGTTCGTTCCACAATACTTCGATCTGATAAATGGACCAAATTAAATTTATATTCCTTGGAATTATAAAGTGGATCTCTTTCTGGCGTTAATAAAAAAGGTTCTATGTCATATCCGCAATCTCCCAATAACCCAGATGTCCGGTCACCTAACTCATACATTCTAAGTAAATATTTTCTGGCGGTACTAATATTCCATACGAATGAGTCATAGCTAGAGCCGGGATACCGAACAACAACCATGTCACCATCACAAATCTAAATGTAGGTAAAAAATACATAAATCAATACTAGTATAAAAGTCCGTTTTCATGACTACTTACAAATGACATTCTTACTGATTATAAAATAGATGTTCATCAAGACTCGGCTTGATGATTTTGATGTGTGTCCCGTCGATGCAACCAATTATTGAGGGAATTTTAAACTTTGACTAAAAATAGTCCCTCGATCTGCATTTTTTGTTCAAGTCCATTTCAAATTTCACCCAATGAGGACAAATTAATTTATCTATAACTGTAAGCACATCATCCAAAATCTTTGACACCGTGCTTCTACCTACACTTATACTAGAATCATTCCCAACTGATCTTCGTAAGGATCCTTCACTAAAAAAATCGCAGAAGCTACTAGCTGTAGTACTGGTGGAACCTTCGACCGTCTCAAGAGCCCGTCTATTGTATCAAGTACCAGTTGGAAAGCCTCTTTATTTTGTCGATAATACGCTATGAAGCTGCAAACACGCACGCTGTGGGTTGCTGCAATCTCGCAAATTTTGCTTTCTATTTTTTCACTTCTGTTTTTTTCCAGAAGCATAAAAGGCACAACTGCATATACTATAATACACTCATTTGTTTATTTATTTTATTTTATTTTTCTTTATTAAAAAGCAATTAAATCAATTAATTTTATAAAATTTTGTCAAACAAATTTGCATTGAAATTGCCGATACACATACAAGCACGCAAAACAGCTGATTCGAACATCGGTTTTCTCCTTTTCGAAAAGAGCAAGACCGACACGGTTTCATGAGACGCAATGAAATCAATATCGGCTTGCAATTCTGATAAAAAGCAAAACCGAATTGGATTCCATGTCTACCCTGAATAATCAAGAATATATTAATACAGATGCAAATAGTTAACGTTACTAACACTTTGTAATTTAAAAAATGGGATACAATTTTAGTTCATTCTCAATCAACATTAATATAATAATTTAACATTATTTTTTTTTATAATTGTAGAAAGTAAGAATTTATGAGTCGTATAAGGGTAGTTGTGTTTTTGGAAATTATAGTAGAAAATAGGTTTTGATGTTTGCATGTAAATTAAAATAGCTTTCTATTGGGTTCATAAAGTAAGAACTTTTACTTTCTGTTAGGTATTTGGTTTGGCTGGGTCGACTAGGTGTAGGGCAAACCAACACTAAATACCATTTGGCTTGCGATAGGCATTTCTCTGAGAAAATGAGGATGGACAAGAAACTTGTATCGAGAGCCGTTCCTGATAGGAATTTGGCGGTAGCATCCAGTTCTGGTAGTTTGTTTCTATTCAACTCCGATTACG